AAAAAAAAAAAAAAATATTCATTGTGCATCATGGAGAAAGGGGTTAGGAAAGGCAAAAGACCAATTTGGGAGAGGTTACTAGTAAACCAGGTAAAAAATAATGGTAAGTTGGGTCAGGATGTTAGTGATGGAGACAAGCAGGTGGATTTGGGGAATCATTCCACTCTGTTAAGGGAAAAGGCTACAGAATCTAGCGTAGAGCAGAACAGTGAAAGGGAGAGCTGGGAAAGAGGAGGCATTGGTAAAAATTTGAAAGACAATTATGTAAGTGTATGTATATAAGCATAAATAAGTATATATACATGTACATATACACATGCATTCACAAGTATGTAAAAAGACTTACTGTGGTCATATATAATTTTTATAACTTTTTTGATGTAAAAACATATACGCAGATCACAAATCATAAGTATACAGCATGTTGGAGTTTCAGAGTGGCATTTCCATGAAAATTTCACCCAGATTTTTTTTCACAGTAGCATATCACTAGCATCCCAAACTTCTTCTCCTCCGTGGTCCTCCTAGTCGTCATCCCCTCTCCTCAGTGGCAGCCATTGTGACTTTACCTTAGATTGGTTGGGTTTTGGAGGGAACAGGAAGAGTGAGGGGAAGCATTTTTATTGTTCAAAATATAGAACATTACCAGCACCTCAGAAGCCTCTTTCGTACCTACTCCCAGCTGTTATCTCTTCCCAAATGTATCTACTCCACTGTTACTGTGTTGGATGAGGCTCCAGACCACCCCATATTCAGGGATTCACTAGAAAGACTCACGGGACTCAGTATATAGTTGTATTCACAGGTAAGATTTAATAGAGCGTTGTCGTAAGGATACACATTTGGATCATAATAAGGGAAAAAGACACAGGCACAGTCTGGAGGAATCCATGTGTAGGCTTCTTTATGCTTTCCCTCTCATGAGGGGTCAGGCAGAGCCCACTTTTTCCCAGCAATGAAAATGAAGCAGCGTGTATGCCATGTTTCTGCTCAGAGAAGCCCATTAGAGGAGACCCAGTGCCTAAAGTTTTTACTGGGTCCTGTCACATAGCGGTT